TCTGGGCTTCAGTGCCAACACTGGGATGCCAAAGAGCCTCATATGCATGGATTTACCCTGAAACAGTGAGTCACATTCGGCACTGAATTCATTCCTACAGAGCCTGGGAGACAGAGCCTAATTGCTTCAGCTGCCCATAACTGATTCACAAGCTTCTCTTTCATTTTCGATGTGCAGCTATCCAGAGAAGGATCTGAAGATGAATTATTGCCGTAATCCTGATGGTGAACTTCGGCCCTGGTGTTTCACTACCAGCCCGAGTAAACGCTGGGAATATTGCAAAATTCCTCTTTGCAGTGAGTCTGATTTCCTGAGATCACTCCAGAGGGTAGCTCTTCTCATTACAATTATGCAAGGAGGGGAAAGACAAGAAATCTCAGTTCTGAGTAACCTGAAGATACATTTGTGAAGGAAGGAAAGTGCACAGTAATACGCAGAATCGCTCGCTAAATTTCAGTTATGTAAAATCATGTAAGGTTAGTGAGGATGTAGGTGTCATGAAGTACAATAATGCCAAAGATGTTTTGGGAAAACAGAATTTGCCTTTAACCACTTTACTTTTCAACTTACCTGAGAATTTAAATTTACCTGAGAGACGGGGCATTCAGGTTAAATCAGGTGGTAGTTTTCTGCTGATCAGTTAACTAATGAAAAACATCTAAATCACCATGTGGCCATACTGTGATATTTTACCCGAGTCTGGCCAGCACAGCCAGCACTGCCTTTTTCTTAGCAAGGAGTGAATCCTGAGAAACAAGTTCAGGCCTCGAGGAAACACCTGACTTATCAGTGAGTGAGCGTAAACCATTGAGCTGAGCATGCTAAATCTGGATATTTCCAAAGCACTGAATAAGGAGAGTAGCATTGCTATTTGTAGAACTGGATGGCACTTTTAGAAAAGAAAAAAAACGTGTTTTTATCTCTAGAGCTTGCTTTCTTGTGCATCTGCACTTGCCAGTGCTCTAAGCAGTGGCACGTGTTTGCTGGATGTAGTTCTCTTCAACATGGTCCATTACAGATGGCAGAATAACTATTTATAGACTTCTGCATGATAAATTGTGAAAGTTACCATAGCATTTCCACTCTGTGCTTAAAACTTGAAGTTTAAGGAACATGCCAACCTTTTAGAGTCATACTTATCTCCTTGGGAAATTCTGTATACAAAGTATATATAATAGGTATGTGCTGTAAATTCATTTTCTGTTTGCCCTCTGCAGGTTCTAGGCCTCTGTTCATCACTCTTACTTTCTTTGCTGTTCCCCACGTGCCAGACCACTTCACTTTCTTTCTTTCACTCTTCCTTCTGCCACACTTTCCCAAGTCACTGACTCCAGAGGCTCAGCTCTGAAGGCTGCTTTGCTTTCTCTCAAAATTTCTTCTTGTCCCTTTCTGCCCTTCCACCCTACTTGTGTGTATAATATTCATTTCACTTGGTTTTACAAGACTGTACAGGACTACTTACTGCCTTTCCTGTTCTGCTCTCAGGGGACTGCAGGCACAAAGTCTGTCTTGACCCAGCAAAGTTATTTATTGGCTGCTGTAAAAGGGCAGACACAGGACATCTCTCTGGCTGTCCAACTACTCATAAAAATGTACTTTTTGTTTTTGACATGGCTTTTAACCCAGGTCACCTCTGCTGAAAGAAAAAAAAATTGCACTTTTGACATTACAGAAAGTAAATGGGGTTTATATATTTTTGAAAGTACTATTTTCCTTGCCTTCCCTCCCCTTCATTTGTGTTTTCCTGTTACAGCTACACACCCACCAGTCTCTGGCCCAGGCTCCCAGTGTCTTTCAGGGAAAGGAGAAGACTATCGAGGAAGGATAGCCATCACTGAATCAGGAAATGTGTGTCAACGCTGGAACACACAGTTACCTCACAAACATGGCTGGATTCCTGACAGATATCCCTGCAAGTATGCCGAACCTCATCATTGTAACAAATACCAAAGAACATGGTTATTCCTTATTGAATCAGATGCAGAGACAAGAGGAGCCCAGGTGCTCCTCATTTCTGCTGATAAGCTATTTTCTTGCTGTTTGTCAGTGCTCATTACTTCTGTTCAAGTCTTGCTCTCCATCTTTTTCTGCATCCCTCTTTATTCTCATATATTTATCTCACCTGCCTGACCCACATCCCACTGCAAAGTTATAAGTAGTTACTACTGAAAATCCCTTGGCTGTGTTTCAGTACATTTTCAATGCATTACTCTTCTGAAGAGTGACGCTCCAAGGTCAACATGCTCCAATACATCCTTTTGCTCCAAGGTCAGAGGAGCTGGGTTTTCAGAGAATTATCGATGTGCAAGGGTAGCTGGGACTGACCTGGCTTATTACTCTGTATTTTGATCCTGCAAGTTTTCTTGAGCATGTGAAACCCTGTCCACTATCATAGGGCAGAGAGCAGCATGCACTGGTGCTCCTACACACTTCCAGGATCAGTCTGTCACATCCAGCCTTGCCTGGTTATTACTGTAATGTCAGGTACACCAATGGCTTGTGTTTCGAAGTCAGCTTTTACTGCTGTACCTTGGCCTCAACAAGAGTAGAATGAGAAAGCATTGAAACAGTTCTTCATATATCTTCAGCATTTAGACTGTAAATTTGAAGACCATTAATTAGTCCCAAAACAGTGATGCATGAGGTAATTAATCTCCAAAAAGAATAAATATAACCACTGAGTTGACTTCTGCATGCAGTAGTTGTTAATAGTCATGCACAAAACTCTTCTGGATTTCTATGAGTAGTTTAAAGCCAGTGTTTTTGTTTCAGGGGCTTAGAGGAAAACTACTGTAGAAACCCTGATGGAGAGAAGAGACCTTGGTGCTACACCATCAACAGCAGCGTTAGATGGGAATATTGCACAATTCCTCCCTGTGATGGAAGGGAACAAGAGAGTGCTGGTATGAATAGTGGAGCGTACTTGAAATAAAGACTTTAAAACAGTGAGAGGTTTATTGTTTCTCACTGTAAATATATCAAATATTTTTTCAGTCACTTTGTCACTGTTGTTAATGCTTGTCTGCCTGGCATGTTGCAAAACCTGCCAAATATTGAACTTTCAGTGGTTAAGAAAACACAGTGAAGGATGTAAATCACCAAGTGACCCAACAGAAGAATTACTGGATAAAAGAGGATTATTTTTTTATATTCCTTTCTTTCCCAAATGTAGGGCAACTATAGCAAGTTCACTAAAAAATTAAAATCAGGTTCAAAGACATGAAAAACTGCTAAATAAAAGGAACTCCCATTTTTGGAAAGTAGCCACAAAAGAGAGGACAGGAGCTTCCAAAGTCTTATTTCCAAATCAAAATCACATTGAAACATTCATTCATTTAATGACAAAAAGTAACAAGAAAGTCTTAGTGCAATAAAAAGGATAATGGAGAGATTGAAGCTTAATATAATGTCTGTTTGAGAAATTTATCATGGTCAAAATCACCAGTATTTCATCTGTGAGGATTTCTCATGTGAACTTTCTTATCTTTAATTCTAGCATGTTCACATATACCAAAATGAAACCAAATGGTGAAGCCTTCACTGAACAACATTTAACACATGATGTTAAGCTATGAAAATTTTCTAAATAACTTTGGAAATGCCCTTCTGCTGCTGGCTGTGATGGTCTCACTGAATGCTGTCTGTATAAATGAGTCATTCCTTTTTGTCATCCTGTGTGTTTGATGCTTTCTTGTGCTTACTCGGTAAGAACATAAAACTATGATGCAAAAGACCAGTTTCTGTTGTTTGCTGCAGATGTGCCTATACAAGTTCCCCTGACAGAGGAGTGCTACCGAGGCAAAGGCCAGAGTTATCGTGGCACAACTTCTATCACTGCATCGGGAAAAAAATGCCAGGCCTGGAACTCCATGTTCCCACACAGGCATGAAAAAACCCCGGACAAATTCCCAGATGCGTATGTTTATCTTACCTTTTCTCTCTTTCTCTGACAATGACTGCTGCTTGGTTTGCATTATCTTTGTACATCTATGCTTTAAAACATTGCTAGGGAATGTATCTGTGAAAGAGATTTTTTTCCAAGACATAGAAACATTTTCTGTTAGTCTCATTTTTAAAAACTAGTCATCTAAATTCTGAGCAAAATATAGCTGTATCCCTTTACTCTTAAATCTGAGCTTCTGTAACCAACAGCAGGAGACTTGTATCCAGAGTTTGGGCATCTGCTGAAATATGTGTTTTGTTTATGAATTTAAGATTTTTGTGGTGGCCTTTCTCATTTTTTAATCTTGGTAGAACACAGCATTTATGATGCAAAACACACTGTCAGATACATTATGCTTTGAAATATCATCAAAGTGTTCTTTGCAGTTGGAATTGTGTACCCAGAATTGCACACTGAATTTTCCCCCTTTATTGGTCTTCTTCAGGCTGACAAAACTCTACCAGCAGTGACTGGATCAGTGATGAGCTAACCATAATCACTAATGTGCCAGTTTTTAGTAAGGGTAGGAAAGCAACAAGATTTCAATTGCGAGAAAATCCGTCCATTTTTTTACGTTTTTTATGCTATCACCCAAAATAATTAGAATTTTTCAGTTATATTTAGGCATCAAAATACTGATGTATAGAAACTGGAACATCCTCGGGGGGGATGATGACTTTCAAAAACATTTTAAAAAATTAAAATTGAATTGCGAAAATGTGGAATTCATGTGTTCTATCATATTTGGAAAAAAAAATATTTCAGTTCTTTTTTATTCCGTAACTGTGCTGTGATTCAGGATGGGGAAATACTGAAACCCTGCAAATTATTGAAGAGAGAGATTCTACTTCTCCCTGCCCCATGAAGCACAGACTTGGGAGTGGTTCCACTGAATTCAGTAGAAACAGTGTTTGGGAGCGTGAGAGGCGATCAACTGTATAAGCATTTATTTGTCCTTCTTCTGAATGTTAAAAAGAACCCTTTGGCATTAAAAAACAAAAAAATTGGAAAACCGTAAGGGCCCACCAGCAGTATGAATCTTTCTGCATATTTATTACTAATTCACACATTCACATAACTGCGTGTGCTTATACATATATATTTAGAAACTAAATTATTGGCATGTCAGGCATTTATTTAGGTACTCAGCATATTGACATGGTACATCCAGAATATCAGCCAGTAATTGAATTATGTTTCCTTATGCATAAATGTATTCATGACTCTGACGTACATGTGAAATATAACTCTTCACCAGCATCACAGCCATAAATGTGTTTGCTATTAATAGGATATCTGCAATAAGTGAAAACAATAATAAATGTTTTTATCCTTATAGTACAGTTCCAGTATAGTATAGTATAGTATAGTACTTTTTATCAGGTTATTTCTATGCTTACTTCCAGTCTTACACAGCATGACCATTGACTATATTTTTGCAGGGATTTGAGGGACAACTATTGTAGAAATCCAGATGGTGACAACAGCCCGTGGTGTTTCACCACTGACCCCAACACCTTATGGGAGTACTGCAATCTCAAGAAGTGTGATGATCATACACAAGAGCCCATACCAAATGATTCCCCTGCAACGATGACGCAAGATATTAGCCCGACGACACGCACCACATCTGGTAACAGCTGGCTATAAGTGGCACCTCCTGTAGAGTCTGTGGGAAAAGGAAATAGTAATCTGTCAAAATAATTCTTGAGTGTTGTGGTTTAACCACAGCTAGAAACTAAGTACCATGCAGCTGCTCACTCATTCCCCTATTCCTTCCTTGGTGAGGAGAAAAATAAAAAAAGATAAAACTCAAAAGTTGAGATAAGAACAGCCTAATAATTGAAACAAAATAACAATAACAATAATAATAAATATTGGAGAGGAATAAAACCCAAGAAACCCAAGCGATGCACCATACAATTGCTGACCAATGCCCATCCTGTCCCTGAGCAGCAAGTAGTGGCTCCCACTAGTTTATGTACTAAGCATGTTGTTCTGTGGTATGCAATATCCCTGGGGCTAGTTTGGGTCAGCTGTCCTGTCCATGCTCCCTCCCAGCTTCTTGTATACCTTCTCACTGGCAGAAAATGGGAAACTGAAAAGTCCTTGACTTCCGGTAAGCACTACTTAGCAACAACCAAAATATAAGTGTGTTATCAACATTATTTTCATACTAAAGCTAAAACACAGCACTGTACCAGCTACGAAAAAGAAAAGTAACTCTATGCAAGCCAAAACCAGGACACTGACTAGGGCTGCAATGTAACAGTTACACCCCTCCAGCAGCTTTCAGATCTGTACTGCTGCATTTTGCAAGTGCTCTTTAGTCAGTTCATGTCCTGTAGCCTATGTCATTTTAGTGCATTCTGAAGGACAAATTTTTCATCCAGGGGAATAAGAGGAAAATAGACAACTGTGATATATTAATATAATACATCTCCCAGGGTGCTGTTCAGCACCCTTCCTGAAACCCAACTCCTACATCTCCCCTCTTCTTTATTATTATGAGGAAATACAGAACATTGCATATAACAGTACATTTTAAACTTTGTAAACCCCCTTTAACAATGACCACTGCGTCACAGTAATTCAGTTCACTGCCTACCTTGGTCTCTCAACGAACTTACTTATTTGAACCTTTATCTGTAATCCTTGAAACTTGCTTGACATAAATTTGAACTTTTACTTCCTAAGGGTTTGTGTGTATTTGGGATAAACAACAACTTTATTAACCTGAGAAGTTTTGCATAATCGGGCAGAACATCGATTCCCACTTCCCCAAGGGCCTGCATGTAATTGGTAACCAGGAGAAAGTCAACTCCATTTCAAGAAAAGGGCCCTTAGAGAACAAGTGTTGTGATGCAAGTGTAATTTGTTCAAAGCACATGAAGCACAAAGTATCTCTAAGTCTACATACATACATGTTTACACAGTTTCTCTCATTCATACAGTTTTTTCATTCATACAGAAGTGGCCACTTTACATTCTCTCCTCACACATGCATACTTAGAATTTTTATTATGTGTCTATTTAAATCACATAGTTTAGGGTTTTGCAGTCGTTATTGGTTGTATGCTTTGCAATCTGTCACTTCTGGTAATCATGTTTGGCAACTGTACTTGTTTTGAAAATTTGAAAAGGAATTAATATGAAGAATATAAGGTTTAACAAAACTAAATGTCTTACCTGTTTATGCACATGCATTTTCTCTTTTCCTCCCCTTTTGTTTTTGTTTTAGAAAACCATAAGTTAATAAACTCAAAGATATATACACAAGTTACCATCACAATATGTTAACATAACTTAAAACTTAGCATCTCCTGTAAACAACTAGACCAAGTTACCATCACAATAACTGAGTATATAAAACGAGTTATCATTACAACATGTTAACACAGCTTGAAATTCAGCATCCTTTGCAAGCAATCAGTTTAAGTTGTCTGTGGTTTCTAGAATGCGGTTAATTTTCAGCTTTTGTCCATCCATTTCTGTTAGCCGCTTTTTGCCTTTAGTAACAAACTTAACAAACATGTTAATAACAATTTAAACAGTCTCAGGTGGCTAGTGTGGAAGAAACAGATGTAGAGGTTAGGCAAACGCAGTTTCTCTGTAGCTGTATCTAGGAATGGCCTTATGAAGTAAAGCAGTAGAAGTCATTTGATGCCTTTCAATGTCTTTTTGCTTCAAAGTTGCCTTTTGCTGGAGCTTGAAATAAAGGCAAAAAGTCATTTTGTGCTTTTATTGTCTGTTTACCTCAAGGTTGAAGGCTGTGTGTAACTTCATGTGTTGCATGTTTTAATGCTGTAAGGGCAGAAGGGATCAAATACTTGTTTATCATTCTCGATGTTCATATGAAATCTTAGATAAGTCTTTATATAAATTATCAAGGAATCTTTTCACTTGCTGAAACAATTAGAAAACAGAGTATAAACATTTTGAACATTATCTTAATAACAAAATCAAACCCTTTACTACGTTGACACTAGAAGATTTTGCACTTGCAAACACAAAAGCAAGCATTCAGTGGTTCCTATCATTCGTGGATATCACAGAAAAGTTTTCTTCATTCTCACTGAAAGCAGTTCGTCTTGTTTGCTCTGGCAGGCGTCTAATGGCCTGGTTTTGTGGAGATAAACTCAAAAGGCAATTTTAAGGATTTTATACAACAAAGAAAATTTTTCTTTCCCCATAGTGTTGTAAGTTAAACAGTTAATAAGAGTTAAACTGGGTGATGGGGGAGATTTCAGTTTGTTATGCCTTGTTTTCCCTCGTCTAGGACAGGGACTGGGACAAGAACTGGAGACGACAGAATCTCTCTCCACCCAGTTGTCAAGCAACAGATGATCGCTATTACGCAAGAAGCATCATTTTGGCTCCTGAAAGCTTCACTCCTCCCCCACCCCAGACAGGGGCAAAGAACAAGAAATCCACCGTCCCCAGCTTCGAGAGACTGATAGTCCTGCGAAGGGCTTTCTACTAACAGAGCTTCTATTAATAGATATAAATGTATTTAAGAATTTAACAACTTTAACAATTTCTTAAATGATTCATTAACAAGGTTGGAGATGCTTAGGAACTTTTAAAACACGTTATTTGAACTAAATTGTCACAACAACTGCTTCTATTCAGGTGTCCTTGAGGGTTTAACAACTTAACAAGCTCAACAGTTTAACCAAAGTCTTGGGGAAACTGATGAAAGAGTAAGAAAAAACCTTAAAGTTTCAATGTTCTTACCAGAGGTCCTGAGACAGCAAGATACAAAGTCAAATTAATTTTGTATGCTTCTCGGGAGGCTCACAGCAAAGCGCTGTAGCATTGAGTTGTTCAGAGACTCACCTGAGCTATTTGCAGCTCAGCTTCGCTCTGTCTCTGCACAAAGGGTGTGAGCTGTCCTCTCGGCCCCGGTTTTTGTTACTTGTTTTCCACCGCAGACGACAGAATTGCCCCCCCACAGGGGGTCTCTTGTCAGCGCCGGTTGGGGGCTGCTGTTTCCCTCTCTGCTCACGGCAGACCGTGCAGGGCTCTGCCGTTTGTTGCAGTTCGCGCTGTCTCGGCTTGGCATGGTTTTAACACTTTGTTATGGAAGGGGAGGTAGTTTTTACCCCGGTTTCCGGTATCTCCGGTCCCGTCCCGACTCCGGCGGAACCGCTCCCCGCCGCTCCGCTGTGTAGGGGGTTTTCGTAGCGAGACAAGACGCTCACCGCCCATCCCCACCCCGCGCCGGGGCTCCGCGGCTGCGGCATCGCTGCCGCTTGTATTTCGGAGCGGCCCCCGGCCCCCAGGCTCCCGCACAGCCGGAGCCGCTGCTTTTGCCGCGGCTCTAGGGCTTTTGTGCCGGGCCAGGGCTGAGCGGGAGGTGTTCGCCCGTGGGTCCCGCGCCTCTGCGCCACGGCATGGCAGGGACACGGCACAGCTGCGGGCACGGTCTCGGCAGTCTGTATGTTTTCTAACTGCCTGGGGAAAAAAAGAGGTAAAACATATTCGGAGCAATTGGAAACTTAGGAAAGTTTTCAAATACTATTTCGAAATATGTGCAATTATGGGAGCTGAAAAACACATTTTAGTTAAGACTTAACTAAAGCAGAAGTTATCAGGCAACGTTTTTCTTTTTATTTCTTTCTCTCAGAGCTTGCCTTTTCCCCTTCTCATTGCTTACATAAACTGAATTCACTAAACAAGAGAAAAGAGAAAGAATAAGTAGACATAAGACTTTGCCACCTTTTATCTCTATCTGGTTTAGTCTTTCTTCTGCTTCCATATACACTGTATTGGCACAAATAAGGACTATACTCCAATAATGCCCTTGCCTTTAATTTTGATCTTCGAATATACATTTTTTTAAACATCTGAATTAAGCTTGCACTTACCTTCACGTAGTCTAAACATTACTGTCTGCATAGACTTCTACAGGGATCTGCATTCACTTCAGACCGATAGGATTTTACTGCTGGACTTGGAAATACTGGGTTAACAGTTGGACTCAATGATCTAAGAGGTCTTTTCCAACATAAACTATTCTAAGATTCTATGATACATGGGCAAGTCTGAAGACTAATCCCAAGTCCAAGCACTAGCCTTAAGACCTTGTATCATAGATAAGGTGCCGTCCCAGGAACTGTGAAGCCTTTAAGTCAGAGCTTGCTCAGATCCAGCCATCTTTGAGGCACAGGCAAAATGAGTTCAAGCTAAAGGTTTTTAATGTCAGTAAAACCCTTACCTAAATTTTGTTCATAGCCTAGCATTAAAAATCAAGCATGTGGTCTCCTGGTGCCCAGCTCTCACTCCACCTATGCTGATGGTTGAGTATACCCAGCTCTCTTTGATCTGCTTTTACTGAAGCAGGAGGCAGTTCCTCATCCCTGCAGCTTCCAGCAGTGATGCTGGCATCTGTCCTCATTCAGTCCCAGCTCCCACAGACACATTTTTGGCCTTGTTGAGCTATATGCAAGGGGTGCCCTTCCCACCCCATTTTCCAGACACCACTTTTTAATAATCTACCTGTAAATCAAAGTCAATGAATTCTTCTTCGTGTGTGCATCCATAAAATTAAAAAAAAAAAATAAATAAAAGGAACGAAACGTGACTCAGTCTCTGACTTTCACCATGAAAAGTTTAGACATAGATTGTAGAGCTTTTTTACCCTCCCGGCGTTATGTAGCTACAAAACTGATGCTATGGAAATAATGCTTAAGAATAATCACTCTAATTCTACTGTAAGTCATCTAACTCATCAGAATTATTAAGAAACACTTTTCTCTAGCATATACAGTAATTACTGGCTTTCCTCTCACCTTTTTCCCCTTTCTTACCTTGAAAGTTTTTCGTTTTTCATTCAGCTTGCCACACGGTGGCAGCTGCTTCATATCTTCTAGTGATCACAGCCACAAAAAAATGCTACAGACCAGATTTCTTCTGGAAATGCGTTAGGATGGAAAAATCAACAGACCATTGTTGCATTTAAGCAGTGTGAAAGACGGTCCCGCCATGTCTTGCAGCTTAGTCACCAAATCAGCAGGGGAGGGAGAGCAGTCAGAATCCCACATCTAAATTTTGGGAAAATTCAACTTTGGCTTCAGGAAAATTCTCCTTGCCTGGAAAACACTTTAGGCTTGAAAGAGTTTGAATTAATGTAAAGTAATTACAGGCTAACACTGAAATAAGCAATTGGTACTGCACCATGGCAAAAAACTAGAAAGCACTACAATGGCTCAGATTATGTAGCATATGTTTTTATTTATTTAGTAACATTTTGTAGAGTAAAATACCCTCTGCTTGTTGATGCTAGGTATGATCCAAGCTCAAAAAAAGTTGGAAGATTTAATAAGGTCCTTCAAGGACCTCAGAGACTACAGTAGAGCTGGGGATGAATCCCAGTTCTTTCATTACTGAGACTTCACAGCTTCACTAGATCACAACACCCAGGCTACGATTTATAATTGTTATATTTTCTTGCTTGTTCATAAAGGTACCAATGCAGATAACAGATTAAAAGATGTTGAATTACCTGTGCTTGAAAATGAAATATGTAATCGCCCTGAATTTATGAATGGAAGTGTCAAAAATAATGAATTTTGTGGTGGATTTACATTTGGAGGCATAGATAACTGTGAGGTAAGAATAATCTAGCTTTGAGTTTAAGCAGGTCATGCATATAATTTGTATTTTCAAGGCTCAGAAATAGCTTCAGCAACTCAACATTTTTGCATGAAGCCTAAGAACTGAGGTATACACAGCGTTTTTTTTCTTCACTCACACAGTCAACCAGCATAGCAGAGAAATTGTGTAGGATAATATCCTACTCATAGTAGCCTAGTGTTGTGAATAACCCTCTCACCTGAAGTAAAGGCTGTAATATACTGCTTGGGCTTTCCTTTGTTCTTAGAGATAGAGGTGAAACTTGTTTCTGGCACAGGCTGGAGTTGTACCGCGTCTTTATTTAGTCCCTTGATTAAATAAAGCTTTCAGTGATTCCAGTTTTCTAATTTTCACAAGTATATGAAAAGACTTTTAAAATGTAGTTTTCTTAATGGAGGCTATCATATTGGGAGCTTTTCAATAAAAAGCTGGTAACTAGTGACAGTCAGGAAGCAAACACAGGTCTGTCTGAGCAGATGTTCCAGATTGCCAGGGTAAATTATATCTTTGAGAATGTGGGCAGTGTGTTCATTTATAGGGCCAAAAATCATTGGACATATGTACTCATATCCTGCCATGCTTGGATTTTAAGGAACGGCATTAAAACAATTAAACTAATTTTGCCCAGTAGATCAGAGGATGTGGAAAATTTGTGTGTTTGTAATAGGTCTCAGAGTAATCTGGGGATTTACCCACATCCATGACTGGTAGATCTTCATATCAGGAAAATGACCTGGCTGCTTGGAAACAACTTTCCACTCCCCCCATCCTGCAATTCTTTTACTCCAGCAGGTCTAATAAAACACGCTCCCTCTCTCTCGAGTCCTTCGGTTAGTCACATTTTGAGGCCTTCAGAGTTACAATATTAATCCTGCCAGTATTTTGCTGTTTGCATGCCTAGTGTCTCCATCACTAGAGCAGTCACTTTATACTCTCTTTTCCTTCCTAGGCTGAAGTTGAAGGACCTCTGGTCTGCCAAGATAAGGACAGATTTGTCCAATATGGAGTCACCTCTTGGGGACTGGACTGTACCCAGCCATCAAAGCCTGTTTTTGTCCAGATTCCTAGTTTTGTTTCTTGGATCAAGAATGCAATGGCTTCCCACTGAATCTGGATGCGGGTTAACTTTTCTGACAGTCTCTGTGTCAGAAGCAATATTCCAAGTATGATTTTAAAACTTGTTTTAAAAATCATGTCATAATTAATAAGAATCTTAAATAAACATCATTACTGGCTGAGCATAAGTAGCTATTGCAAAGCAATAGCCAAGTTGACCAATTGCTATTGTCTGTCAGAGTGTCTGTGTGGTACCTGTATAAGTCAAACATGTTGCATGCGGCAGCATCTTGAAGGTTCCTACTTCACCCCTCTCTTTTAAGGCATACTCCAACTCATGAAAGTGTCTTCCTCTGTGTTCAAATGCCTGCTTTTCTCTTCTCCTGCAAGCAGCTGGCCTGTCTCTGTGTACGAGGTCTTCCCAGTGCAAGAAACTTTATCACAAATCAGGCCTGACCCTGTAGCCATCACTAGCATCTGCTCCCCTTTCTGTAGCAGCTCCAACCCAGCTGCTAGCCTGGGTAAGAAAAGGGAAAGCTGAACTGTGCCTTTGCTGTCAGGAACTGGATGGAGGTATGGTGGATCTGCTTCTTCTTGTGATTAATTCCATCCACTCTCACCACCCTAGCGAAACTCTGTGCTGCGCTGTGCAATCAGCTAACCTTCCTAGGTTAGATGTTTGCATGGAAAAAACAACTACCCACTGCAGCGGGCAAAGGGGTGAGTTGGATGGCATTTGGTATGGTTAACATGTCTTTGAGGCACTTGCACAGAAATCCAGCTCTCAGTTGTGACACCAACAGTTCAGCCCTGACAAGAGTTCAGGAATTAAGAAATGTCTCAGAGGGCAAGGATGTCTCAGAAGGATGGACAAGTGAAGCCGGGGTGCCACTGCGTGCCTTATCAGACTTGGCAGCTCGTGCTCCTGCGCACTCTGCAGCAGGGAGATGGAGAAAGAAAGGGTACCCGCAGGTTAGTCAAGCCTCCCAGAACCTGGAACCTGATCTGGGTGCCACCCAGAACAGTGGAAAAGGACTGCCACTGAAAGCGTCAGGAAAGACTGGGTTAGTATTTCAAGCAGTACTGCAGTGATCAAAGGAAATTGTTGAGTGGGGCATGTTCTAGCAGAATCAAAAATCAACAGAAACACACCTGTTCAACTCACCCAAGGTAGTTCCAGAATTTTTAGTGGTTGTTCCAGTTTTCTGTGAATCACTTAAAAACATTCCACTTCCAAACAGAAAATGTATTGACCTAATAGCAGAAGAAATGTTCACTTCCTATGGACCTGTAATCTGAACAAGGATTTCTGTATTTTTTAGTCTTCCAGCTGAATGTCTGATTTAAAGTATATTATAAATCTTTATCTGGTATTTGGGTATTTTATTATTATTTTTATAAGGAACTCTGCAGAGATCAGGCTGTATAAATTTGTTTTGTGATTTTTAAAAAAAAAAATTTGCGTACTCTGCTTACTCCTTGATATTCTCTATGAATTATTTAT